GGCGCGGCGCTCGGCGGGGGTGTTCCGGTGGCACGGTGCTCGGCGGGGGGGGAAAGGGGGTCTTGGCGGGGCGGCGCTTTTTTTTTGCTGCTTGGGGCAGCAAAAAAGTTAGAGCTGGCCCTGCCTGTATGCTCCAGAAGGCTTCCCCATAATGCCTGCCAGGTGCCTCATCTTCAAATCACTTCCAAAAAACCATGCGTTCTGAACAGCATACCAGTGATAATATCCACGTGCCATGATTGTTCACAGGTGCCAAGCACCCTCATGTCCCCTCCCTAGTCCATTATATACTGCCTTCTCCTGATGCCAGTGTCCCATTCTGACAGCAGCGTTGCCCCTCTGCTGAGCAGCAACAGATGTCTGAGGCCTTCCAGGTGGCTTCCCAGTGGAGAAGAAATCAGTGATGCCTGGGTGTATTCTAAGTGTAACTTGGGTCATTAACACACATACTCCAGGCCTGGAACAGAGGTGGTCAAACAGCACAGCAGGCAATCCCTTTTTCCAGGACTCTCAGTCATCCTCAAGTCTTACAGGACAACTCTGCCCTAAGAACTGACTCAAATCAGATTCCAAGGCCAGAAATCAAACTGTCCTGCTGCTCGTACAGAAACTGCCTTCAACGCGGAACTGGGCCTAGCCAAAGCTAACAACAACACAACAGGTCTTCCCAGGACTGAACATTCGGTTGTGCATGCCAGGAAAAAGAACTTGGAAGACTCTGTAGCAGCACCACCTGGTGACACCTGCTGAAACAATATTGTAGGTGTTGCAAAATGCCACACACAGAAAGGGCACTGGCGATTTTTTTTAACAAAAGTAATTAACTGCTCACAGTCATGGCTCTGTTAATGAACACTCTGGAGACAGAACTGGTGCTATCATAGTCTGATCCTATAGCCCTTGCGCAACCAAACACCCCAGTAACGTCAATGCAGCTGTAGCCGGAGACAAGATCAGTTCCAACATAAATCTTCCCTTGTGCTGAGTTCTCCCATGTCAGACTATCTCACTATCACAGGATCTCTCATTTGTAACAAAGGGCAACGTATTGATTTTCTTCCATGTCCACTTTCGTTGTCACTCTCTTATCGGAAAAGGTTAATTATGAAAAAAGCATAAAATAGTCACCAAAACCATAAAACTCCTTCAAAGCTGACCAGTGAGTCCAGGCAATAGATTCCCCTCCCCGTGATGCAGTTGTACTTTCAAGGTGATTTTAAATTTAATCAGGTGCGGGGGGGGGGGGGGGAAGGAGGAGGTGTTCTCAGAAAGGGCTGAGAGTTTGTTCTGACTGTTTGCAGTAGCTGAAAAATGATTGGTTCCTGTGACGAGGCAACTCCCTGGGTGAGCCTATGAAAGCACAACTCATTTGATCAAAGTGGAGGGTTGTGAGGGATGAGCCTCAGCAGGGGATAGGAAGAATCAATTGGGGTTAGTGTGGATTAGCAGCAGAGGTGGATCTGGCAAGGCTGTTAGTGTTTGGTGAACTGAGTAAGGCAAATATAGTATTAAAAGCAGTTTGGTGAGGGACATAGCTGCAGGGCTTGGAGGATGACTCTTGCTGGAAGGGTCGCTGTAGATTCAGAAGCGTATGGTGAGCCCCTAGGCAGGAATTTGAGTGTGGTTCTTGAGGGCAGGGTAACAACTGCTGTTTTATTGGCCAGACCTGGAGGCAGGGCCGGTGCTACCATTTAGGCCAACTAGGCGGTTGCCTAGGGTGCCAAGATTTGGGGGCACTAAAAAGCGGCGCCCCCAATTTTTTTTGTTTGTTTGTTTACAGCGGCCGCTGCACTGGGAGGGAGAGGGAGTCTGAGCCACCGCCGGCAGCCCAGGGGTTCCCCGGGTCAGCGCACCGCCGGCAGCCCAGGGGAACCCCTGGGTCAGAGCTGCCGCACAGATCCCCGGGCCGGGGGGTGGGGAGCTGCCGCAGGAGGGTGCCTCAGGGTGGGGGGGGGAGCTGCCGCAGGGCTGTGGGGACGCAAGGTGGAAGTTTTGCCTAGGGCACGAAACTTCCTTGCACCGGCCCTGCCTGGAGGAATGTTGTTACAAAGCCAGGCTGTAGACTCGGGTATGGTGAGTGTAGATTTTGGACCTGTGCTGCAAAAAAGCCCGGCTCAAAGAGTCCAGTTACAACATAGTTATGTCCTGACGTATTTAAAACACAGCTACATCTTGCACTGCAGGCTGAGCCTAACAGTGTTCCTAAACGGTGCTAAAATCTTAGGCGGAGCAGAGCTCTAGCACTCCTCGGCCCTGTAAAATAGAATAG